CTGGGGCTCCAACGTTGACATGCTTTGCTGCCTTGGGAATGGAAGCCTTGAAAAGCACAGTAATAGGACAGATGGAGCCTCGGTCCCTTTCACTGTGGACTCAATATTCAACACCAGGATGAAAATATCGGAACGGGTATGTGGGAAAGAAATAAAATTCCATATTTTTAAAGCCAGTGTTATTTTGGTATTTCATTTATCTGCTGAACTCAATCCTAAACAATATAAGTACAATTTAAATATCCTGGTATTTTTATTAAAATATTTAACAAAACATAGTTTATTTTCCTAGTCCTTAAACAGATAATTTAAAATGTGATTTAATCTTTTTATGATTAATAACCATCACCACAAAGAGCTATGATTATATGTGTGTCATCCAGGAGACCACAACCACCTGCTTATAAGGACTGCTTGAAAGATTGTTTTCCTTGTCAGCTCCATGTCTTCATACTTTTAGTGTGCCTGTTTAGAAGGTAGAACAATTTTCCTTGAAATTGTTCTGCTTCCAGATGGCTACAACATAGAAACCAAGCATATTAAAACTGGTTAGATCAATTCCACCTCTATTTATTAAACACCTACTAATGTGCCAAGCACTGAACTAGATGCCAGATGTACACAGATGAACAAATATAATCCTTTCTCTCAAGTTGTTTAAAATCCATTGTTAATGACATCAAAATATTCTTGGAATGTGAAAGAGGGAGTTATTATTTTGTCTGTTTTAGGGGCAGAGTTGTCAGTAGAAGTGGGAAAGACTTCACAGAAATGATGCCATTGGAACTAGGTCCTGATGTGGGATACCTCCAGAGAAAGAAATGTTGATAAAGTCACTCCACATAGGGACATAACTCAGGAGGGCCATAGTGGAATGAATGTGCATGACATATTGGGGAAGTGACAGAAGGAGTCGGGAACACATGGCTAGAAAGGGAAATTGAATCCACATTTAGAAGTGCCTTAAATGTTTTCTTTAAGTATTTGGTCTTTGTTGGCGATTGGGAGCCATTGAAGTGTGTTGTTTGTTTATTTGTGTGTTTGTAAGCTGAACAAAGATATGACAAGATCTCTAATCTTAGGAAAATAAATCAGACAACACTGAAATATATACTGAATGAGAAAAAGAATAGAAAAAAAGGTAGGAATTTACTACAGAATAGTATATACTGCAATCAGCTCTAGTATAAATGAGAACAGGAACCAAGACATCAGCCAGGAGGTAGGGAGGTGTTTGTAAGATATGTTTTTAAAGAAACAGGAAGTCTTGGCAGTATTGCTTATCTGTGTGGGATGAAGGAAAGGGAGGAGTCAGAGAGTTTCAATGTGGGTAATGATACGTTTAACTGATACAAGATTCTAAAGGAAAATCAATGTTAGGGAAAAACATGATTTTAGCAAATCAGGGCATGAGGAGATAATGCCCAAGAACATCAAGGTTTCATGTTCTGCAGGCATTTATAATTTTCAGTTATCTGCCCCTGAGGGCAAGGACCATGTTTATCGTTTTTTTCTGTTGTATTCTCAACTCTCAATGGTGCCTGCTGCCCAGTAACAAATATATGGTGAGTTAATGACTAAATAATTTAATAGGAAGTTCTAGGGAAGAGATAGGAATTTGGAAGTCAGTAGTATTCGTGTGATCCTTGAGGAGTTGATGAACAATCAAAAACATGAACAGAGGTTAAAAGAGAATTTAGGAACCTTAGGAAATCTTATTTAGGAGTAAAGAGAAGAGCTAGTGAGGGTGTCTCAGAAGGGGCGATCAGATAAAAATGTGTTCTGGAAAACAACATAAGACAGTTTTAAAACTGACACAGTGGTGAATTCTATTAAATGCCACCAAGGAGGGAAGTTTCACAATGACTAATGTCAATGGATTTGGAATTAAGAATGATGGTGATCATTTAGAGAGCAATTTCTGTAGAGGGGTGATTCTCAAACTTCAATAAGTCTAGGATATTTCATTTTAACAAGTTCCCAGGTAATTCTATTATTGCTGGTCCAGGACCATACTTGGAGAACCAGTGTTATATAATATTAGAGAGAGAAAATAACTGGATTATTTGGGGATGAAAGAGAGATAGTTTCCTAAAGAAANAAATAAATAAATAAATAAATAAATAAAATTAAAAAAACAACTATCCTCTGCTACAAACTTTAAAAAAAATGGTAATTTTGGTGGAGACTGTTTTTTGTTGTTATTTTCCAAAAAAATGTTTGCTTCTGGCTGCTCAAATTATTTACTATGTGATTGGAAATATAATTTAACTACAGTAGGATGTGGCACTTGGTGATGTTTCTAGATTAGTTTTCTGAAAATCAATTTGCCATCACTAGTTGCAGCAAACCAACAGGCATCTATCTTTTACCAGGTGAAGGAGAGTTTGTGAAGAACCTTTTCACCAGCAGAAGTAGCGGCAGGGGCAGGGCAGACACTTGGAGAAATAGAGAAGCCTGTAAAGTGTGTTTAAAGGAAAGCAAATCCATTCACATCTTAACTGTTGAGCCCTGGATAATTACTTCAGCATCTGAAATGTGAGTCACATAGGAAATTGATAACTGAGCCCCCCCTATCAAATCATCTGAAAACTACTGGTATGAACAATCACTAAAGCTAAACTTTTGAAGAAAAATTCAACAATAACTCTGAATTGATCTTTCGAGAACTTGGTCAGATCAGTAAAGAGTGACCATCGATTCAAATGAGAGTGGGTGGGGTCTAAACTGCTTTTCCCGTGTCTATGTGTATGTCTGTTTGTGCCTGTGTGTTGAGGAAGGGGAAACATTGCAGTGGTGCCATTTAGGTGATGGAGGTTTTCAAAGCCAGGTGAGAGTTTTCTATAGTTTATGCAGTTTGGATCAGGATCCAGAATGGTGTTGAGGATAAGATAGGAGTGGAAGCAAATGCGGGGGGTGAAATGGCCCATGCAACCCAGGTATACAGGACCCGTCCCATGAACATTGGAGTCCATGCACAGAGAGGCCTATCAGATTTCTGAAGTACCCACAGTGGGTTTAGAGCTCTGGTTAGGAATGGTTCTGGAGCCTCCTCAAGGTGGTCAGAGATGTGGGCTGATGGCATTAGTGCCAGTATCTGAGAGTAGTGAAGGGCCAACGCAGTCAATGCTAGGCCAGAAGTCAGGAACCCCAAGTTTTGGTCCCAGTGCATCCCTTAGATTGATGCAGACTAGTGCTTCTCAAATGCTCCATAAAAGACTATTTTCAAAAGTTGCCAGTCCATTTTGGACTCACACATGATCCTGGTATTGTGCCACATGTGACTTCTCAAGTGAATTAGATGACAGCTGAGCTGGTCTACACTCAGTTCAATGAGATGAGTATATTGATCATGGGCTTACATGTCACAGAAAAATCAAACTACTATAAGTTTTTAAGTGTTCTCAATTTTTGATCTTATCTCTTTATGATCTTATCTCTATAAGCAGCTTACGGACTGTCACTAGAGTAGATATTCTCAAAGTTGTTTCCTAATTTGAACTTTATAAATGCCGATGTGAGAGGGGCACTAATCTTTCAAATATGGTGATGCTGCCTTTATGGGTCATTGTTGGAAAATGAAATTGTGAAACTGCATATTGCTTCAGAAAAAAAGAAGCTTAAAATACTGGTTAAGAAGACGCTGGTTGTCTTGCAACTTTCATTTCTCCTTCTTTCTTAGTACTAGAAC